CACTGGAGGCACTCACTCATCCATGCCAAGAAATTCGTAAGACAGCTACCTGGCCAATAGATTGAAAGAGATTTGGCTTAGAGTGATCCCATATAAGGTATCTGAGGAACCACTGGTGAGTTTGAACTGCCAACCTTGTAGTTAGTAGTCTAGTGTTTATCCTATAGTGCCACACCAACCACTATGCAATTCTTCCTAATGACTTTATCCTAGATTAGAATCTCATCTCTTCAGACTTAGGAAACTGCAGCAGCTCGTCTTCCCTGGCTCGTTCCATTCTTTCCTCACTTGAACTCAACCTATACATCACTGCCATGCTCATCTTGCTACTTTATTACAGGACTCCTGGGCTTCCAAACTTTCAATGTTCCCCAAACCTTTCACAAGAGAATGAAAGTCCAAATCCCCTCAATCCAACACTGAAACTCTTTAACAGACAACTCAACTGTCTAATGAAGTTTTCCTTTTAGTTTCCCATGACAATTCAGTCCAGCCTCATTTCCTCCTATCTCTGTATGCATCTCCCAAAGCTAATCTCCACTTCTACTTTTTCCTTACTAAGAAAGGACTCTACCCTCTGTAAACCCTCACAGGCCGGTTCAAGTCCCAACTACTCTAGGTGATTCTTAAGTCTCCTGAGGCCTTATTCATGTCCCTATACCCTGGGCATCACCAGCATCCACTGTATTAGAACTCACTAGATTGTCTTCTACACCTGTGGGGTACACCTCATCATTCCAATTCGAATCTGCGGGCAAAGTCTAAATGCTATACTTCTTTCTTTCACAGCACCTAGTATAATGCAAAAGCACAAAAAGATATTCAATAATCATCCTCAGAACTGAACATACCGTTTAGTTGTCTATGTGTCAGTTTCTGTGACTAGGATATAAAATCAGACTCATTTGGCATTATTGTAGTTCCGAAGGTTAACCTGTGACATGCTACAAGGAAAACTGCTATGACTCAATAAGATGATACATGAAAACTAGGCAGTATAACCTGGGAAACAACACAGATGTGTTAAAGCCTAAAATCAGAGTCTGTCACAAAGAAGAACTTGCTTAAAATGCAGAACAATATAGTAGTTAGGTTTTGTGGGACAGAATACTGACTTTGCAGCTTAACTGAGTTCACATAAGAATGAGGCACACTATAATTGGGTTAAAATGCAGTCATGGGTCTATGAAAACTCTACATGAAATGTCATTCTGTTCCCATTAAACTCAGTTAGGTAGGTAACTGACTACAGCTGTCAGAACCAGTGAGGTCTTGATGCATGCTGCAGTATGGATGGAGACTGTAGGTTGGGTGAAATAAGTCAATCACAGAAGGCCCAATACTGTAAGAGGTCACTTACACAAAAAGGCAACAAAAGACCAAAGTGCACTAGCTGTTACGAGGGGTGGGAGGGATGGAGAGAGGGAGGTTACTGCTCATGGAGTACTGACTTTCAGTTTGTGTTGCTGTTATTAAGTGCTGTTGAGTTGGTTCCAACCCATAGTGACCCTGTGTAGGGTTTCCTAGGAGCAGCTGGTGAGCTTGAACTGCTGACTTTGCAGTTCAAACGGCTTTGCAGTCTGGCACATTAACCCAGAGCGCCACACCAGGACTCCTTTAGGGTGATGAAAAAATCATATTGGTTAAGGGTCGGGATGCACAGTCAATTCATGTTAAATGCTGTCAGTAAGTTCTCTGCCTATAAAAAGTGGAATTGGCAAAGTTGTGCGATGTGTTTACAAATGCTCAACTACAGAGGAGTAGTTGCTGAGGCTGCGAATACACAACCAAATTCTTCCAGGGAATTGGCTTTAGGGTTAGGGCTTCATGGGAGACCCCAATTAATTGGGTCAATAACCTGGTTGATGCTTCTAACTCCTGGCTCACTGCGTAGTGCTTGGAGGCTTCAAAGTTTGCAAGCAGGAGTTCTGGTGTGGCACTGTGGGTTAATGCGCCAGACTGCAAAGCCATTTGAACTGCAAGGTCGGCAGTTCAAGCTCACCAGCTACTCCTTGAAAACCCTATACTGGGTTGCTATGGGTCAGAACTGACTCGACGGCGTTTCACAACAACAACAGCATTCAAAGCATGGCACTTGGTCTCTATTCACCCAAAGCAACATATGACGGAGAGTTAGGACCAGGAGGACATGGAATGTGTGGTTACCTGCTTCCTCCTTTGCCATGAGACCAGAAGAAACTGGATAATGCCTCACTACCAATACCGAGGAGTCCTGGTGCAGGGCTGTGGGCTAATGTGCTGGACTGCAAAGCTGGTTTGAACTACAAGGTTGGTGGTTCAATCTCACCAGTTGCTCCTTGGAAACCCTATACAGGGTCACTATGGGTCGGAACCAACTCAAAGGCACTTAACAACAATCAATACTGGGGAGTCCTGATGTGGTGCTGCAGGATAATATGCTGTATTGCAAGGTCAGTTTGAGCCAAAAGGTTGACAGTTCAAACCCACCAGCCACTCCTTAGAAACTCTATATAGGGCCACTATGAGATGGAACCCACTCGAGGGCACTTAACAACAACAGCAACCAATACTGAACATTTTGATAAAGGATTCTACAGAAGAATTCTGGTCAAATGGGAGGGAATGCTGAAAAGAATTTCAAATGCTCATGGAATCCAGACTTTCCAGAGTCAAGGGGACAGGATAAACTCCTAAAACTTAAATCTTTGAAACGTAAACCAAAAAAATATCCCAACGTCTTCTTAAAACCAGACAATAGTTTACCTTACAAGTTAAAAAAAAAAAAAGTCTGCCTTGAGTATGATGCTTTTTAAACACCAGCATAAGAAGCGCTGGTGGTGTAGTGGGGTACATGTGGGGCTGCTACCTACAGGATCAGCAGTTTGAATCCATAAGCTGCTCTACAGGAGACAGAGGCTGCTCTCTGCTCCCATAAAGCTCTGGAAAGCCTCCCTATGGAGGGCTGGCCGGAGGGGCTCTGTGAGTTGGAATCAACTTGAAGGAAGTGGCTTTTTTTTGGCTATGGGAGCAAAGTGACAACATGTAAAAGTTTATATCAGAACCTTCTGGGGTGAGTGAGCTGATGATAAAGGTTGGAGGAACAACTCAGTAAAGGATCAGAATGGTCACAAAACTCAAACGTAACGTCACTGAATTATACACGCAGATATTGCTGAGTTGGGGTATGTTTAACAAAAATGAAACAAGTTATATGAAAAACAGGATCTTAAAAAAAAAAAAAAAGACTCAGTGAGGCTCTCATTTATTTCTGTCAACTTTTTTAATGTAAAAAAGACCTAGAGATAGGGATGTGTGGTGGTGGTAGGCAATCAATACAGAATAGGGAGCTAGGCGGACAGTGGAAAGAGCTGTCTAACTGGGGCATGTTGTTGTTAAGTTCGGACTTACTGCGACCCTGTATAGGGTTTCTGAGGAGTGTCTGGTGAGCCTGAACCGCAGACCTTGTGGTTCAAATCATCCAGCCCATTAACCTGCAGCGCCCACAGAAGCCTAAACCCTCGGCTGCCAAATCTATTAGCACTCCTAGTGATGCTATAAGGAGCTCTGGTAGCATAGTGTTTAAGAATCTGGCTGCTAACCTCAATGTTGGCAGTTCGAAACTACCAGCTGTTCAGCGGGAGAAAGATAAGGCGTTCTGCTCCCATAAAGATTTACAGCCTCGGAAACCCTGTGCAGGGTCACTATGAGTCGGAACCGACTCCACGGTACTTAACAACAGTGATGCTATAAGACCGAGTAGAACTACCCCATGGCGTTTCCAAGGCTGTGCTCTTTACCGAAGTATATTTACTAATCACATCTTTCTCCAGAGGAGCAGCTGGTGGGTTCCAACTGCCAAGTTTTTGGTTAGCAGCCCAGGGCTTTAACCATGGTACCACCAGGGCTCGTTGTCCCTTCCCACCCCAAAGCCCTCACCAGCCATAGATCCTGAGCAAGTCACTCACCTCTTTGGGCCTAGTCTCCCAGCTGCAAACAATCACACCTGATCTCTAAGGTTTTCCTAACTGTAAAATGCCAGGGGAAGTCTATCCACAACTGCCATTTCATAGTTTTCCTTTATCCCCCATTTCTGGAAGAAAAGTCATTGATTTAAGCAATCTCAAAGAATTGGCAGCTCAGGAATTCGGTCAAGAAGCCTTACAGTAGGATGTTTTAACATAGCAAAGAGCGCTCTCCTAAAGATCATGGGCTGCTTCTGCAATTAGGCCTAATCCTGAGTACTTATTATCATTGCAGGTCTGTGAAAAGGTGTTATTGTAGTTCAAAACTCCTCTGAGCTGCTCGGAATGGGTGAGAAAGTTCTCATCCTCAGGCGAGACTAGTGAAAAGCTGTGCAAATGACAAGGGACAGAAGAATGCAAGCTTTTCGCCACCGAAGCACTCCCAACAAACACAGCCTACACTTCTAGACCGACATCCCGGTATTGTCTCCCTCCCCACCTGTCAAACCCCGCTCCGGTTGTTCCCCGAGCAGAAACTTACACGGACCACGGAACTTCTCCGGGGAGGAGCGATCCATGGATCCGCCACCTCTCGAGGGCCCCGCCAGTCGCTCTCACGCCCACCCCGGGGCGCTCGCAGCCCCGCACCCAGGTAAACACGCGCTGCCCGCGTCTCGGGAGCGCTTTCTCCGCGTCCTGGGAGCGGCGGGTCCCGCCCCTCCGAGCCCGGAGACGGCCGAGACACTATCGTGAAACCTCGGGCCGCTCTCCCCGCCCCGACCGTCGGACCTCGCGCCTCTGCCCCCCGGACAGCCGTGCACAGCCCAGCCCGCCGCTCAGAGCGCGCAAGGACCGGCCACTCCGCTGCCGCCGCCGCCGCCTCTGCCCCAAACGGACGAGACTCCCCCCTCCCCGCCCCGCGCCCAGGCACCTCCGCTGCGGCCCGGCCCCAGCCCGGACGCCCCACCGCCGAGTCACAGCCCCTTTCTCGCCAGGACGCGCCGGCCGGCCAGAGCCTCGGCTCCACAGTCTTGGGAGACACAGAGGGGCACTCACCCCGGAGGCTCCTCCCGCCGCTGCTGCTGCCGCCGCTGGGACCGTTGCCGTCGCCCCCGCCGCCGCCGCCACTAGCACCACCGTCCGCACCGGCGCCAGCACCCCCGGCCATCCTCCTCTTGCCGTCGCCGCCGCCCTCTCCGCTCCTGTCAGTGGTTCAGGCTCCGGGACTGCTCCAGGTTCCCCTCGCCGCCATTTTGACTCCTAGAGGGAGCAGGAGGGGCTTGGTTCGGCGCGGCCCTGGGGCGCCTGCGCGGGGCTGCGGAGCCGGCCGGGGGCCCCCGCCCGCCCTTACCGTCACCGCGCCCGGGACACGTGACCGACGGCGGCGCGGACGCTCTGGGGCGGGCCGAGGAGGCGCGTTCTCGGGACCCGGGAGCGTTCTGGGTGCGCGCGCATTATTCAGCTTCATGTCTGGGAGTGAAGTGTTGAGTCTCTCAGGGTTTGAAGCTTGTAGGAGCTTCCTGCTCATTCCAGGGAATTCTATTACATATTTAAGTGCAGCAGAATGGAATTATTAGTTACTTTACTCAATGACCGGTTCTACCAATTCATATTTCAGTTCGGTCCACATGCCTTGATTGATCACCCTGCTCAAAGAGGACTGTCTGCACAGAAAAGTCCTACCAGTAAGAACTTGCCAAACAGCGTTTTGGTGGCTTCTTTTTGACAGTTTATCATAAGCATCTGTGTAGTACTTTCCCAGGCACTACCTTGCTATTTGTATATATAATAGGTTAAAAAATATGAAGTCACTGAAAAGTGGAAATGAACACGGGACGAGAATTGATGAAAAAATGCAATCAGCACTTGGAAGAGGCCTGGTGTCGCACTGTAGGATAAGCACTTGTGGTTATTAAGTGCTGTTGAGTCGGTTCCAACTCACAGCGACCCCTGTATAGAATGTCCAAGGATCACCTAATGGGTTTAAACCACTGACCTTGTTCCACCACACCAGGAGTCCATGATAAGAACTATTGTTATGTGCCATCGAGTCTGTTCCGACTCATAGTGACCCCGTACAGGGTTTCCGAGGAGCAGCTGGTGAATTTGAGATGCCGACCTTGTGGTTCAAACGGACTTTTGCAGTCCAGCACACTAAACCACAGTGCCACACCAGGATGCACTTTCGTTGTTGTGAAGCGCTGTCAAGTCAATTCCGACCCACAGCGACCTTGCATAGGGTTTCCAAGGAGCAGCTGGTGAGGTTGAACGGCCAACCGTGCAGTTCAAACTGCTTTACAGTCGTCACACCAGGACTCACTGGACCGGTTCAAATCACAAGGTTGGTCCTTCAAACCCACTCGCCTCTCCTGGAAACCCTATACAAGATCCCTATGAGTCAGAACAACACTTAACAACGATAAACCCTATACAGGATTGCTATGAGTCAGAACTGACTTCTTGTTAAGTGCTGTCGAGTTCGGACTTACAGCATAGGGCTTCCGAGGAGCAGCTGGTGGGTTTGAACAGTCGACCTAGATGGCACTTAACAACAAAGATGCCTCTGGTCTGGGAGTTTGCAATAATTTCAGCCAAGCAATAGCAAAAAAAATCCAATATTTATGGCTCCCCTTAACAGTTTTCACAACACCGTTAAATACAGGGTTTCCTTTGAATGCCAAAAGCGCCCTTTGAGGCCTTCAGGAGAGTTGTTATTAGCGTTGTTTTACAGCTAAGGGAACAGATTCAGAAACACCCAGTCGTTTGCCCAAGGGCATACACACACATTACTAAGTGGGCAAGCCAAGACTAGAACCCAGACGTTCTAACAACATTACACCACACTGCCCTCTAATAAAAACTAGTTATTCTGGAATTGACTCCAGTTCATGGCGACCTCACATGTGTCAAAATAGAACTGTACTCCACATTTTTTTAATGACTTGATTTTTCAGAAGTAAATCACCAGTCCTTTTTTTTCTGAGGCCCTCTACCATTCCTTTCGGAGTCCTGGTGTGGTGCTGTGGGTTAATGTGCCAGACTGCACAGGTTTTGAATTGCAAGGTCGGCGATTCAAGCTCACCAGCTGCGCCTAGGAAACCCTATACAGGGTCGCTATGGGTCGGAACCGACTCAACGGCACTAAACAACAACAACAACAAACCATACCTTACCAATATATTACATATTTTTCTTCCAGGAATTTATTGAAAACCGTCTTCAAAGTACTTTCATTTTCAGTCTCTACACACTTCCCCTTTTTTGGAGTCCTGATGGGACGCAGTAGGATAAGAATGATCAGGGGTTTAAACCCGCCAGTTGCTCTTTGAAAACATATACAAGGGGGTTAGGAGTTGGAAACAAGTCAACTGCGCTCAGTAACAACAACAAACCTTCATTTGGGAAACAAGTTTTCTAAGTCCCACCGAATCCTTTTTATTTGTTATTCTTAAATTAGCCTTAAATTTTAAAGGACACCTGCAATTTGGAATTTTGTGATTTTTTTTTTTTAAGTTTCATTGTGAATTGAATGGTAGTTTATATGGGAGAACAATGGTTTTACACCATGGTTTCATTGCAATGATTGCAATCTCTGTGCATCACCATTCAACAGTATTTACTTCTATTCCCTCTGTTTTGTTTTTGAGGGGGGTGTACACAAAATTACTCAGGAATATATAATACTTTAAACAACCAAAGGGCACATTCTGCAAGCCTGCCTCCTGGCCACCAGCAGTCAGTCTTTCTCTTTCCATGAGTCTAGAGTCCTCAGCTGCTCCTTCTCTCCATGTCCTCATTGTGATGTGTTTTTAAAGATTTTTTGTTATTTTATGCATTTCATATTTAGTTGGGGGATTTAAAATTTTTAGGCCCCCTCTTTTTTTGACTTTTTATTGTGAATTGGGTGAAGGCTTACAGAGCAGATCATCAGTTTTACATTCAATAATTTGTACATATTTGGCTTCATCTAATTGACTCCAATCCCGTTAGTGTAATATCACTTATCCCACTTCCTCCCGCAAGTTTTCTGTTTCCATTGTTTCTTCTTTCCCAACCCTTCTGAACTTTGTCTGTGGGTAAATGCTGCCCTTTGGATCGCAAGTTATTCTGAGGGTTTATACCTCACCGGTACTATTGTTTTGCTTTTAGACCTATATTTGGCTGAAAATTGAGCCATGAGGGTGAGTTTGGGACAGTCCAGATCTGAAGGGTGACTACGGTCCATAGTCTGTGGAATTTTGACCAATAAATCTGGTCTCTTTTATAATTTTGAATTTTGTTCCACAAATTGCTTCCACGGATGTCAGGTGTGGCACCATAGGATCAGCACTGGACTGCAAACCACAAGGTCAGCAGTTCAAACCCATCAGGTGCTCCTTAGAAACCCTATACAGGGTTGCTATGAGTCCAAACCAACTCCACAGCACTTAACAACAACAACAACAACAATTACTTTCATGTATCTTTGATTATCAGTCATGCTTCTCTTCCTCCAGTCAAGGAGAGACCAGTAATTGCATCTTAGGTAACTTCTTATGAGCTTTGAAGACCCCATTCACTACACACCAAAGTAGGATGTAAAGGATTTTGTGGACTATGTTATGTGAGTTGACCTTGATGTTCCCTGAGACTATGGTCCTTTGTCCCCAGGCCCAGCAACTCATTCCCTCAAATTGGCTTGTGAACGTGCCTCCATATTTGAAGACATATTTGCAACAAAAATAAACATTCATGCTCAAATACATTCTTCAAACCTATATATATATGTATGTTCGGTTTACTCCTACTCTGCCTCCCATACCTGTGCAGCTGGTAAGTCTCTTCTATTGTATGGTGCCTTACCCTTCAACCCAAGTAACATGTATACTAATTTCTTCCCAAGTTTAAAACAGTCTACTCTATCTGAAAATCTTGACTTCATCTCTATTTGGAAGTTTTGTAAACACTTGTCCTACTTTTTATTTTCTAATTGTCTTTGTTACAGACTAATATCTCTGGTTCCCTATTTTCAGTCTTGTAGGTTTGTTTTACTTGGATACTTCTATATCTGGGTTGACTTGTGGATGGTGGTGTCATATCTTAGGTTATAGTCTATTGTTATTGGTCCTCTGTCCAAGGAACTCTCTTTAATATTTCTCGTAAGGTCTGTTTGTTTTTCACAAATCCCTTTAATTTCTGGAAAATTCCATTTATTTCTGGAAATATCCTATTTTCACCATCATACTTGAGCGATAATTTTCTGGGTATATGATTCTTGGCCTGCAATTTTTTTTTTCTTCAAGTTTTATATTTTTCCATCTCATTGTCTTCTTATACACCAACACTAAAGCCAGTGATGATGAAATTAAAGAATTCTACCAACTTATTCAAGGTGCTCTGGTAGCGTAGTGGTTACGAATCAGGCATCTTTTCTCCGCGGGAGAAAGATGAGGCTTTCTATTCCCGTAAAGATTTACACCCTCGGAAATCCTGTACAGGGTCACTATGGGTCAGAACTGACTCGATGGCACTTAACAACAACAACATAACATAAACAACTTATTCAGTCTGAAATTGATCAAATATCAAATCAAGATTTATTGATAATTACTGGTGGTTGGAGTGCAAAGGTTGGAAACAAAAGAAGGAGCAGTAGTTGAAAAATATGGCCTTGGTGATAAAAGTGATGCTTGTGATTGTAGAATGGATTTCTTCATTACAAATACCTTTTTTAAACAGCATAAAAGATGATTATACACATAGATTTCACCAGATGGCATACACAGAAATCAAATAGACTAAATCTGTGCAAAGAGACAGTGGAAAAGCTCAACATCATCAGCCAAAACAAGGCCAAGGGCA